GCCAAGATGAAACGGAGAAGGCGGCTGCCTTCGTAGTTTCCATTTAAATAGATCTCACCACCGAACTATTTGAAAATAATGGGCGAAAACAGTTCTCTTCGCCTTTTCATCTCTTTTAGTTTTACGCACTCGTTTTCTGTTACTTCTTAAACGAGTCCAAGTTCATGAAAGCTATGCTTCCTACAAAAAGCCTCCTTCACAAGACTTATTTGGATTCCAACATAATCCGAATAGTGTTCACTAGTGATTGTTGTGAACATAATAATGGACGTAAGATTTGAGGTTTTCACAGGGTGAGTATGAAGATTTCTGTCTTCTGGGTTGTTGCGCCGTGTAGTCTGGTCGATGCTAACCAACGTTTCAGAGGTCATGCTGCCTCCGTCATCAGGGCGATGAATATATTCATCGCCCTGATGACGGAGGCAGCATGACCTCTGAAACGTTGGTTAGCATCGACCAGACTACACGGCGCAACAACCCAGAAGACAGAAATCTTCATAATAATGGACCTTTCGGTCCTTTCTCGCTCCCTCCCGTCCTTGTATACAGATAAAGGAGGGTAATTTATTGACCATCTGAGGGACTGTCAGCTTCTGAAGCACATTTTTACTCCAGAGTTACTTCAATTGTATGTCGCATGCCAATAAATATTCCTAAACGGAATAAGCAATCCAACGGGAACATTTACTCTGATAGAGAAACAAATCTTTCACAGATACCCTGTTTTTTGTCTCCGTATTTTATAACTTACGTAATCTAGTACGAGAGAGCCAGAGACCGATATTCTCTTGCAAACATAACCGTAACTTAACCAAACATTAGGAAAATCGAATATCGCTCTAAATCTAAAACCAAATAGAATTGTAGATTTTGTAATTGTAAATACCTACAATTAAACAAAACTGCAGTATTTTATAAAGGTATATCAACTGCTTTTACCGAAACGTCACTGCGTCACCATAGACAAAGAAAGTAATTCAACAAAGAATGGTATGTGTACGTCCTTCAGTTAAGTATTTAACACAGTACGGCCCAGGGCAATAAACAAAAAAAAACAGTTACCTGGTTACAAGTTATAGTTTACAGAGTGGCGGGACAAGCTATGTTAGAACAACACTGCAGAATAACACAAATAAATTGGCAGAATAAAGTAGATTTTGTGGGCTGTGTAGACACTTATGGTTCACTTAACGACGCTGTCAGTATATCAGTGTTGAATGGTAGGATTGCAAATTAGAAGGGATACAGAATGCAGAGTTCATGGCCTAAATACACAATATAGATGTTTCAGAAGAATTTGTTTACAGAGTATTCTATGGAGTTGATATCCTCAACATTAGCACTGAAATTAGGTCGGCATATCACACCTACTTTAGATAATCCCACTACTGCCGAACGGTTGGCACTCCTCTTTCGTATTCGGGAGATCACTAGTTCAAATCTCGGCCTAGAAACTGGATGAAAATTGACTGACTGTTTTCTGTGGTTTTCTCAGTTCTTAAAAGCAAAAACCGGTGTGACCATTTGCCCATGGGCAGTGGAAAAAGTCTTAGTTTAAGATATCATCGCTTAATTAAGTTGCATCTAACATTGACCATGGACATATAAATTAAAAGGCAATACATTTAATTCAAATAATTTAATTTTTGAATAAATACATTTGTGAAGAATAAAAGGCAAACGCACATAAATTTGTTTTAAAAATAAGTTAAAAATAATCTAAGCCCACTGGAAAATCTGTTCAAATACAAAATGGAAGCTATCCATTAAATAAACATGAACAGTTGGTCAGCGACTCCCGTCTCTCTCGGTTTGATTATTTTTACCTACTAGACTGCGTGCGTGTGTGTGTGTGATGCCGAATGTGTAACTACGTCCAGCGCTTTGGATAAAAGATGGCAGCATTGGGTCTAACGTTAAGAAAGGATTCCATTAAACGACAAAGGAATTTTTTTCATTCTGCCTTCATGCCGTTTCTCTATCCTTCCAATAATGTCTTTACTACATTTACTGTTTCCCACAAGCCTGCAGCCTACATTCTAATCTTCTGCAATAGTTCTTCCTTCCTTGCCCAATTTCTTCTATTCTTTGCTTTTCTTCATATCGTTGACCCTTCCAAAGCTGTTATTTAGCATCACTAAAACTGAAAAAGGCCTACTTAGCACATCTGCATCGTACTGGAAGACCTCTGGTTCAAATGTCGGCCCGGAGGTGGAGTATCCTGGCCTATGAATTTTGTAGTTCTCTTCAGCCCCTCCAAAAACCGGGGTAGTTCCTTCAATTATGCTACGATACCTTCCTTCCACATCTTTCCCACTTTATAAATTATCATATCAATCGTTGCAATTCATAGCGACGTTAAGTAAAACATAAATTTATAAACCTGTCATTATTTCAGAGCCAACATAGTTCCGGATAATGGTTCTCCTCTCATCGAAACAGGGATGCCAATCAACCACACGCACTACTGCCACTGACAATGAAAAGTAAACAAGCTTCTCTTTATAATCCCACTTTGATACACCATTAATTTATGTACGCCTTGTAAGTCATTATCACACACAGCCATCTCTCTCTTTATAGACGGTACCCACTTGCTTGTAAGCTCAGCATTAAAACTGACTGCAGAAACAACAATTATCAAAGTAAGGGGCACTTACCTGCGACTTCCTGCTTCTGTATTACGCAGAATCCTCTAGCCATCGGTCATGCCACTTGCCGATCGTGATGCAGAGCCTACCAGTCTGTCCCTAGGACAGCAAATACGACAAAATATGCTTCTTACTAAGCTGTTGTCATTATTTACAAGGAAACATATTCTCATGTCCTTGTCTGCCTCCCTTAGTAACTTTTGAAAGGCTTTTCTCAGGTATAATCATTGAATTACAGGCCACCAGTAATTTCTTCGATAAGAACAACATGGTGGTCGTCTGACTTTTCATATGGTGATCAATGTTTAAAACACAACATGCAATTTCACTGACTTGATATTTTATTTAATTTATTTAATTCTGTGGAATTTAAAACAACGCGTTGACTGCCAGAAATTTGTTTGATGGCGATAACTAAACATGTATTGAACTAGGGAATGTGTAAGTTTGTACACATAGTCTACATATAATTAAAAACATGGCGACGATGCTAAATTTACATCTTGCATGCACAAAAATTTAACATTGTCGAAATTCGTAGCATACTCGTGGACTTATAGATAGTGGATCACTAATTTCATGGTTCTAACGAATGTTGCATACGTTTCAAAGACTTAGGTTTATTTACAACAGAAGTGAATTGTGAATTTTATTGATCCAATCTTGATACCGGTAACAGACCTATGAACATCTTGCATCAGACAAATAATCATAATCTGAGGAACTGATTAATCAACAAAATCCCCCAGCGTAACATCGACCACATTGAATGTAAAATGCAATGAACCAAAAAACCGAAAACATTCAAGTTGTTACATAACAGCCTAGTTGCTGGCACGCAGCTACTGTGTTAGAAAACCAAAATTAAGAACGAAGTTTAAGCTACAAAAGATTTAGTTCAGAGCTTGTTCCGGGAACCTGAGTACTGGTTTTGCTGGGGGAGCACAAATTCTGAGCTCCAGAGTATTCTTAAAGAAAACAGAAACATGAGACAGTTTAAAGAGACGGAGACAGGCAGACGGGAAGAAAACTGCATCACATACAAACTAACACCATTGACTGGCCTTGAAACCTTAAATTCTCATGGTGTGTGTTAAATGCACTTAGTTAATCCACCCTCAAACAGTATCTGACCGAAAATAGAATCTCTCCTACCAGATGTCTCCCACAAAGTAGTGATAAAAGTCACTTTATCACTTGTTTCCTAACAGGTGCAGAATACTGGACTCAGCTCAGGTCAATTCTTAAGTTATTTTTACCATCGCCCTTATTGACATCTCTGTTCTGTACACAAGAAGTAGGTTATATTTACGCATTTTAAATGAGAATTAATAATTAGTATTAAAAATGTATTATTTGAGTGTGTTTAATATTTGAGCCGCTTGACAAGAAAAAAAATAGAATTTTTGATTAACTACACTCGCCAAAAAATATGAGGTGGAATTATACTCCGGACAGAAAAATTTTGCCGGATTGGAGTGAGAGAGGTATTTGATATTATAACATCATTCCGCCCGCCCCCCCACCCCAAGGAAAAATACTGTGTCCTGAGGAAACGTCCTCAGCATCTAAAATGTATTTACTGGTAACAACACCTTTCCTCTGCAAGCGGTAGTTTACAAGCCTCTAGCACAAGTAATTAGTTCAACGTAATTAGCTTTGTATGCAATTTCTAAGGTTCAGAGAATTAAAATATTGGGCAAGTATAGAAGCATGTTTTAGCCTGTATTCTACATTATTACACTTCGAAAATCTTGACGTTTGCTCACTTATAGTTTATTTTATTTCTGGTGAAGGAATTAAGTTTGCCAGAATTGTAATTTAAACTTTCGACAGCTGGACCATTTTCAGACTCTCGGTGTCGCCGAGGAAATATGATGTAATGAAAATAATAGTTTTTATCTCTAAAATTTTATCGAGTCAGCGGGACAGAACGAATATAAATCGATCTGATCATATGAAAAGATCATAATCGTCACGTTATTGACCATAAACGTTAATACCCTCCTAGCACTGTTCTATGGCATTGCCAATATTAACTAGTTTATTAGAACTAAAAGGTTAAAACGAGTATACCCTGTCCGTCTTAGCCCAGTAGATGCTTCTAGCAGTCGTATTTATCTGTCATAATCCAATATTGGCGTTCACACCATTTCCGTGTGTGTAATAGAGTGAAGATAGTTTGCAGTTGTGCCGCTACAACTAGGGAACGCGGCAATCGAAGCAGAAAGATCGAGCCTCGACAACAGCACAGTCCCAAAATTATACTCACTGTATAATCGCAATGTATGAAGAGATGCGACATTTAGGCAACTGTAAAAAATCATATGCCTTGTAAGTGCTAGCAGTCTGTTTCAATACGGAATGATTCTTAGAAAGTGACACATTAAGGGAAACTATTTTTGTGTAAGTCTGTTAAATTTTGAAATGGGCGGTTATTGGAATAGTCCAGAGTCAGTCAACGTTGCAATTTCTCTGTAACTTAAGTAATCACAGAGACAAAATATTGGAGTGGGTAAGCAATTATTTATACACCAAATTCATGTCTTCGCCAATGTTTAATTGCGCTGCATTTTTTATATATATATATATATATAACACAAAAATAGAAATTTTGTACACACACAGACATACAGAAATTCTCAGTATATTTATTGTTAGTAAGTAATAATCAAAATAAACGACAACAAACGTATGTATATCAACGGTCGAACAGACACAGCAGGGGGAGATAGGAGTCATACAGCGCCCAAAACCATGGCAACAAAGCCAGCGACACGTAGGGTGTGTGGTTTTTAATTTCACGTGAAATAATGAGCACACAGATATGCAATGTGTAGTCTGTTTTTCGCCCGCTGGAACATCCCTTTTCCGGCACAAGATCTGTCAGAAAATGAACGTGTAAAGAAATATCTGCTATTATATCGTGACATAAGTAAAATGCCATATAACGAGGCCGGAGTTTAAATTTCCTGGGGCGCATAATACAAACAATTCAATTCTAGAATATCCGATACGGCCCTAGTTTGCAGGCCCGTCATTCCGAAATAGCCACTAAGAAGCCAGAAAAACTGGGTTTTAGGATTGTAGTTTTTCATTACAAGTGTCTCGCAATACTCGCATACAGCGAAGGATTACTTCAGCTCCACTCTTTCATAACTGGTCGATTAAAGCTCCGGCCGCTTTATCTCTTTGGGAAAGAGCCTCTGATTCTCATTGGATAGAAGGCTGGATGGACCGTAGTGGCGGTACCAGTCTGGGTGAAGTGACAACCCAGAAGAGAGCCATCTTTGGACGAAGACGGCTGTATTCTGGGTTGTTGCGTCAGAGAAGTGCTCGAGATCACTCATCGCCCTGATGATGGAGGCACCAAGGACCTCTGAAACGTTGGTATACTTCTACCAGACTGCACGGCGCAACAACATAGCCATCTTTGGGCTCAACGCCGTGAAAACCTCAAATCCTACATATTTAGAAAATTTAATGTCTTATTTAAAAAAATAAAACAATAAAAGGTTTTATCGAAAACGGTTCAGTAATTTCGGACCGATAAATATTACTTCTCTCATATGACTTCATTTTGTGCAAGGAACGCCTAGCAACCCTTGAAACAGAATGATCTGGTGTTTTGAAAACTGTAAGCTGATTGTCTATGTGCCTTACGTGAAACTCAGATTTACGAATAGTCTCTTGAATTGTCACGAGACATTGTGCAATTAAAGGCGGTTCCCTCAGAAAAGTACGCGCAACACTATTCAATGCAACAACTTAGTCACAACAATCCAAGCGTTATTAAAATCCAACATTACGCTCTATATATATATATATATCTAATCTGCACAACCGGTAACCTATATAAAGTGTGCTGCATTAATAATGGAAGGGGTGGAGACGAAAAAGGGGCGTGAGATAGGCAGGGTGTAGAAATAAGACCAGGCTGTTGAATATTAAAAAGACCACCTAAGTAGCAGGCACCAATTATGTATAATTAGTGCATTCCTAATGATGCACTACGGCACGCCTCCGAAGTGTTTCCTGATTAGTCACGGATTGATTATATGACGGCAACTCCAATGGTTATATTCGCTCTTGTTATCGAGTTATTTCGTTTCTTACCACTGAACAAATACATAAACAGATACAAATATTAGCATATTTTCATACAAAAATTTTCCTCAGTCTGACTACTAACAAAAATTACTTGATATTAATATAAATTAATCGCTAATATTAATGTACGATTTCTGATACCATATTATTCGCTCTGTGTTCAATTTATTTATAAGCACACCTGATTAGTAAAGAAGTTAGTTAAGTTACATGAAGCAATTTATCAATTAGTAAGATTATTTCAGTGCATTAGCATTATGGTAACAAGCGAGGGAAATATTGTATAGGAAGAACACTTGAACAGAAAGCTGTATCGTCTACCAGTAACTAACTACTTGGATTTCGAAACTGTGTTCAGCTGGAGACACATCTGTTCCTGATCAAATAGATTACAAGCGAAGTAACACGTTACGTGTGAGTTTCGTGTATATCACCGAACCTATTGGCAAATGAGTGATAACTGTTAAATAGGATTAAATATTACCCATATGCTAGTAAGATGGAAAGAAAATATTGCCCCTTTAATATAGCACACCCATGTTAAAACCTACACATACCTGAAGATAGGCAGCAGTTATGGAAGACGCATTTAAAGAAAAAATCAATCTCCATAGCACATTCAAATTAATGGATGTGCTTGAAATTAACAACTGCACTATATCTGTATCCTAGCAAGAACATAGCGTTATATAGTTGCTCAAATGCAGCACCCGCACATGCTGAGTACTACACGGCTTAACGTGAATCTCTTTAAAGTCACTTAATTTCTGAGAAAACATACTGGAATAATAATTTTTAAAAATTTAATGATCTATCAGATCAGTAAACACCTCTGAAACGTCGGTAAATTTCTACCATACTGCAAGGCCCCACGTTCCAGAAGTTAAAATTAAAGCCGTGGCGTAACAGCTCCAGAGAGCCAAAGCCAACTAGCTTGACTGCTGGCCTCACGTTCACATGCCTAAGCAGAGGTGAACGATCATCCAACCAGATATAGGATGACGTGTAGTCAGCACCAGCCATTGCTAGCTTTCCTGACCAGACATTCCAGAAGTTAGTCATCTTAAAAATACATTTGCTTGATA